ACTACTACTACTACTACTACTACTACTACTACTACTACTACTACTACTACTACTCCTCCTACGAGGGGCCCGAACGACTTGCACCAGGACGAGGTGCCCGAACGCCTCACGCCACGAGAAGCCCGAACGACTCACCCCAGGACGAGGGGCCCGAACGACTCACACCACGAAGAGCCCGAACGACTCACACCAGAAGGAGGGGCCCGAACGACTCACACCAGGACGAGGCGCCCGAACGACTCACACCACGAGGAGCCCGAACGACTCACACCACGACGCGGGCCCCGAACGACTCACACCACGAGGAGCCCGAACGAGTCACACCAGGAGGAGGGGCCCGAACGACTCACACCAGGATGAGGGGCCCGAACAACTCACACCACGAGAAGCCCGAACGACTCACACCAGGACGAAGAGCCCGAACGACTCACACCACGAAGAGCCCGAACGACTCACACCAGGAAGAAGGGCCCGAACGACTCACACCAGGACGAGAAACCCCAAACGACTCAAACCACGAGGAGCGCTTTCTCTCCCTCCTCCTCCGCCTCGTCCTTCTCCCGCTCCCACCACAAGGAGGATGTACAAGGAGGCGGGAGGAAGGAGGAACAGGGGAGATATGCGGGGGCAGGCGGAAACACGTCTGAAAAACACGACTGTCGGCATGCTTCGCAAGAGTTGCTGTTTTGACATGGGCTGGTGGGGATACGCGAAGCGTGAAGATTTTTTCCTGGACAGGGCTGGGGCCCAGGGCTCTCTCTTAAGAATTTTACCCCCGGAATCGACTTGACAAGGGCCGGCGGAATACGTTGCGAAGAATTGGCGAAGTCGGATTCTTGATGTTAAGAATGCGTTTCGCGCGTGCCCGCTCGAGGATAATGTGCGCTGGCGGATTTGTTTGCGATGCATAGCGAGGTACAGAGCAGTGGTGTTGAAGATAACGCGTAGCATGACATAGCGTGGCGTGGCGATGCCCCAAGGTGGGGTGGCTTCCGCGGCCCAAACAATGAACGAATCGGCACCGAATGTGGAATCACTTCCGATGGTTTCTTCAGGAATCATGAAAAACAAAAAAATGTTTGGGCCTTTTTGGAAGGACCGGAAATCATGCCGTGGCATGGCATTGGAACTAATGGCACCAACGCTGCAGCGGGAGCACGATTCGGAACGAGCGGAAGGAGCACAATTCGAAAAGAGCGGTAGCCCGCAAATGAGGCCAACTCCTCAGCGAGAGCAGAATTTTGAAAAAAACGGAACCGCGGAAATGAGGACGCGTAGCCTGACATAGCATGGCGTGGCGACGCCCCAAATTGGGGGGGTCCTACGGCCCCAAAAATCAACGAATCGGCACCGAATGTGTAATCACTTCCGAAGATTTTTTTCGGGGGGCATTTCCTAAATTTTGGGTCCATTTGGAAGGACCGAAAAACGTGCTGTGGCATGGCGCTGGAAATAATGACGCCAGAGCTGCAGCAGGAGCACGATTCGGAACGAGCGGAACCGCGGAAATGAGGCCAGCGGTGCAGCGGGAGCACGATTCGGAACGAGCGGTAGCCCGCAAATGAGGCCAGCTCCTCAGCGAGAGCAGCATTTTGAAAGAAACCTCAGCGAAAACCCAACTCCTGGGAAATCCTGCGTGCAAAAGACCAGTGCGCGGAGCGGGGCCGAGCATTCCCTGGACGCCACCAGGGGAGAGAGGAGAGTAGTCTTCATATTGCTTAAGTGTGGAGGGGAAGGGACGGGAGGGGAGGGGAGGGAGGTGACGGCGAGGCGGGAACCCGCGAGGCAGGGGCGCGGCTGACGAGGAGGGAGAAGACCGCGGCCGCGGCGAGGAGACGCCCGCCGCCGGACCGCAGAGAGCTGCCGCTGCTGGGGCGCGGGCGGAGTCCGCCGGGAGCTCCCCGGCGGCCTGGGCGCGGGCGGCGGCAAGGGCGCGCGGGGGGGAGGGGGGGGCGCAGGGGCAGGTTGGGGGAGGGCGGGGGGGGGGGCTCAGAGGGAGGGGGGGGAAGGGAGAGAAGGAGGGAGGCAAGAGGGAGGGAGGGGGGGAATTGGGAGGGCTTGAGGACTCGAGGGCAGAGGGCAGCGCAGTCGGCTCGGCCGCCGCGCCCCCCCGCGCCAGCACCCCCGCGCAGGCTCGTGAGGTCGCGAGGCCGCCCTGGAGACACAGCGGACCCCACGTCCCTACCACTCCATGCGAGGCGGGGGTTTATCCAGATCCACCGCCTGGGAAGCGACGCCCTGGTGCCCCAGCGGGCGGTGGATATGGATATATTTTGGCGGCCGGGGGCCCGAATATATGTTGGCCCCCCGGGGGCCACTCCAGGGCAGAATGTTGGTCGCCCGGGCTACCTGGGATAACTCGGGTCCGGGGTAATTAACTCGGGTTCGGAACCCCGACAAGCGAACCCGAGTTAGCCCTGACCCGAATTACCCCTGATGATTTGGGGCCCTGGACGCCCGAGTTATCCGGGGTAATTCGGGCCCTGGGTAACTCGGGTATGGATTTCCGAAAAAAAACGAACCCGAGTTAGCCCTGACCCGAGTTACCCCTGATGACTTGGGGCCCTGGACGCCCGAATTTTCCGTGGTAGCTCGGGCCCGGGGTAACTCTGGTTCGGAATCCCGAAAAGCGAACCCAAGTTAGCCCTGACCCGAGTTACCCCTGATGATTCGGGGCTTTGAGAATATATCTGCGGTGCTGAAGCCCCGAGTCTCGAACACAACCACGGCGTCGTCACATATGTATCTCATTCATCGTGTCGAGCTCCCGCAGCACATGGACGTAGAAGACATGGAGGCAGTGGCCCTGGGAGGTTGCCCAAGCACGCCGCCCACGACAACATACTAGTGAGGCTTAAGGATGCGCCGGCAGTGAACGTTCAATGCGATGCTCGCCTGGTTGGCGCCAACGCGTCCATTCTCCCGCGCAGCTAACAACCGCAGAATGAGGCTGCCAACTCACAAGCGGCACCCTCTCATCACAAGGATGCTGAAGCCACCAAGCCACGCGCTCTTGACGCGTGAGTTGTAATGCCTTGAGCTAAACACCGCGAGGTAGGACGACGACGCCATGCAACGAGCCCTCCAATGCAGACAAAAGCGCCCCGCAGCTGCGCACCTCATCTCCTTCCTCAAGAAGACCGCCATTGCGGGAAAAACAAACAGCATGTGGGGTATGCCTGGCCCAAGAAGCTCTCCCTTCCCACAATGCTGCAACCACCACGTGCTTGACATACTTTGAACCACCAGCATCTACTCAAAGGTCGGTCGCGTATTTTTCCGGAGCAGCCTTCGGAACAAAATGCCGACCGTCGTGCAAAACAGCCCAAGGTGTACTGTATTCACGGGTTCAACAACACAAATGATAAATAGCGAAAGCCTGGAATAATGGGGCATGCCTGACCAAAAAGGCTAACTCGTCCCACGTTGCCGCTGCACGCCCGCTGTGGTGCTCACCTGCCCCTGGGACTTGCAATCGATTTTGGGGACGTAGTGGTCGACCTCCTAGTCCGTAGCCTGGAGATAAAACAAACAAAACAACTTTCAGCTGCGCGACGCCTGGCGCTTCCCAACAAGTCCGAGGCTGGGTCAAACATGCTGCCTGCGGATCTAACCCCACACGGTGCGGATTGCACGGCCACCTGGTTCGAGCCAGCTCGTGAGCCAAACTGGTCTGAACCAAATCTTACTCGAGACGGAGTTAGGATGAGGAGAAGGAGGAGGAGGAAGAAGGAGGAGGAGGAGGAGGGGGAGGAGGAAGAGGAGGAGGAGGAGGAGGAGGAGGAGGAGGAGAGGAGCAGCACGAGGAGGCAGAGGAGGAGGAGCAGGAGGAGGAGGAGGAGGAGGAGGAGAAGGAGGAGGAGCCCGCGCCCCGAGGAGAGTCCGCCATACGCCTCTCTAGGCGCCGCGCGCGGCGGGGCCCGTCAAGAGCAGACCGTTCTCGACCTGCGCATCGCCAGAGTCGTCGACGAGAGGCCGACGCCCGCGGGGACGGTGCCTCTCCCCCTCCTCCTCCCTCTCCTCCTCCCCCTCCTCTTCCTCCCCCTCCTCCTCCCCTCCTCCTCCCCCTCCTCCTCCCCCTCCTCCTCCCCCTCCTCCTCCGCCCTCCCTCCTCCTCCTCCTCCTCCTCCTCCTCTCCTCCTCCTCCTCCTCCTCTCCTCCTCCTCCTCCTCCCCCTCTTCCTCCTCCCCCTCCTATCGCTGCGGCCAGGCCGTCGGGGGTAGGGGATGAACTCGCCCATGCCCGAGACGAACACGTGGGCCAGGTGGACGAGCCTGGGCGCTCGCGAGCACCTCTGCGAACGAGTCCTGCGCCTCCTCATCCGCAGCCGCTGCAGACAAAATTCGGTGATCGACGCGCCGACCTGCTCAAACGACTTAGCATGCATGTCCATCGGATCCAGGGGGGACGTCGCATCATCCTCGTCCGACATGGCCATCATCATGCATTGGTTGAGTGGGTCGACCTGCTGCGAGCTAGCCAGCGCCATCCCCGACGAGTTCGAAGAAAGGTGGCGAAGGCGGCAAATCCGCCTGACCAGCATGGACAGGCTCATGAGCACCCATCTGACCATCACAGAAGAGATTGGCGACGTCATTGGGGCCGCCCACAACGGTAGGGGAATCCGGAGCCACAGCACCTCCAGGTGAATGAGCAAGAAGGTCAGCGAGATCTCCACTGGACACGACATCATATCCATCAAACTGGGGATCATCTTCGTTGTGCGCTCGCTCATCTGTCTCCGTTTCGTCGATTGGATCATCGAGTCAAGGGAACGGTTCAGCAACGCCCTGTGCAGGGTAGCGGCCCGTGTTTTCCAGCACAGGTTCGCCTTGGGCAGTTTGATCTTCATGTGATCGAGGCGGCTGTTCAGCGTCGGTGGCCAATCCACCAGGGACCGGTACATCATCGTAAAGAATAGCATCAGGAAAAGCTGCGTCCTCCGCAAGGATAGATGGTCTGCCGTCAGGTGTGCCGCCCGATCTCCGCGCTACACTCAAGAGAGCCTCAATGAGCGACATCTAGAACCTCCCAGTCGATTTGCGCGCGAGGCTGGGGAGGTGCTGGGTCAGTTGAGCGTCCCGCAGGCCAAGACGAAGCAGCATTCCAAGCAGTGGGTGTCAGTCCACCAGGGGGAGCCGACTTGAAGACGTAGTCAAGCTGCTCGTCTGACATAGCGTCGTCCTCGTGCATCACTGAAGCCGGCGGCCCAGAGGAACTCGCAATCGCCAACTCAGCCATGACTTCGATATCCACTTCAGTAGGAGATATCACCCGCGAAGTGCCAAGTTCACAAAGACGGCGGATCGGAGACGACAGCGGAGAGAGCGGTGGCAACGCACTGGAAGAAGGCACCGAACTAAAGTCACTGGTGACGAACCAACAACACACAACCATACCCATAGGGGGATCGGAGAGGGCTATGTGTGCGTGTTGTCAGATGGGGGTCCCCGCTCGGGCGGGAGCATTCCCCGGGGTCCGACAACCCGCACCTATACCCATAGCCAGTCCTCCTCCCAACGACCCAGTATGGGTATGGGTATGGGTGCGTTTTGTTGGCTCGTCAACTGAGGTTCATGCCCTCCAGGCTGTGGAGGCTCACAGCCCTCAGTGCGCCGGCAGGCCAAGGCAGCGCCAGACCACGGCCAACTTGACGAAGCAAGCGAGCCCGAAGATCAAGCGGCATCTTGGACGGGTCAGGGGCTCATTGGACCGGCGCGAGGAGGAGGAGGAGGAGGAGGAGGAGGAAGAGAAGGAGCAAAAGGAGGAGGAGGAGGAGGAGGAGGAGGAGGATGAGGACGACGTAGACTGGGAGGAGCCAGCGGAGGAGTAGGAGGAGGGGGAAGGAGGAGGCAAGGTAGGGGCCTCCAGCACTCCTTCAGTTGCATTGCCGCAAACTGGTGGGGACCTTGATGGGGACGATGGCTGGGGTCAACGGGTGTGAGGAGGAGAAGGGTTCAGGGTCACCTTCAAGCATTTGCAGCCCACTCTGCCCACGTCTCGGCATGCATTTTGGACATAAAAAAACACGATCTGGGCACGAATCAGACTAGAGGCAGAGGTGGGCTTAGAAGAAAATCGCTCTAGACGGCACTTGGAAGAAAGACATGTGGGCATCCAGTGGAGTTCGTTCCCTGCTCCCACCTTGGGACACCCACCTCTACGAACCCCCGGATTGACAGCCCCAGAGATAATCCAAGCTGGCCTCAATAAACCCCCAAGGTGGCCTAGAGCAGTGTAAACACCTTTCCCTTTTCGATGAATGCATTGGCTAGGACCGCGCAAATTCAAGGCAGGGCAGCGCAAGCGCATCAGGGACCGAGGCCCTCCTGGTGGGCATATCCCTCCTCCCTCCGCCACCCTCGCTTCCAGGCGAGAGCCGAGCGATACCAAGCCGCCCGCGGGGTGGCCCGCAGAGGCCAGGCTGCTCGAGGCGCGTGGTACGACTTGCATCTGCCTGGAAGCGAAAGCGGAGTGGGCAATCCACCCTCAGAGCGTCACTGGCCGGGCCGCACCTCAGAAGAGGTCTAGCAGGCCCCCGCCCTGGCCGCCAGCCGGCGCGGCCTGCGCGGCCGGCGCCGTCTGCGGCAGCGCCGCCGCCGGCGCCGGCGCGCCAAAGGCGGCGTCCAGCCCTGCCAGGTCGAGGTCCAGCAGGCCGCCGCCCGCGGCGGCCGTGGGGGCCCGCAGCTGCGGCGCCGCCTGCGGCGCCGCCGCGGCCTCGAGGCCGCCGAGGTCCAGCAGGCTGCCGCCCGGCAGCGGCGCGGGCGGCGCGGCGGCCGCGGCCGCCCCCGCGGAGGAGCCGGCGAGCCCGAGGTCCAGCAGCACGTCCACGGCCGCAACTGCGGGCGCCGCAGCAGCGGGCGCCACCGCGGCCGGCGCCGGCGCTGCGGGGGCGTCCAGCGACAGGAGGTCGTGGCCGCCCGCGGGCGCGGCGGGCGCCGGGGCCGCGGCGGGCGCGGGGCCGCCCAAGTCGAGCAGGTCTGGCGCCTGGGCCTGCGCGGGCGGCGCGGCGGCTGGTGTGGCCCTCCTCTTCTTCATCTCCTGGACGAAGACGGGGCGGAACTGCTCGTGCAGGCGGGGCATGTTCCTGGAGAACCAGTCGTCGCTGATCGAGGAAGAGAGAATGGTAATTATCAACATAGACTTTCGCAGCTCCGCGCGGATTTCCAGGATCGGCGCCGATCCCCCCCTTGGCGCGCGGAGCGCGCCAAGGGCAGCGCTGGAGGCGACGCCCTGGGGGCCCAGCGCCGATCTAAGACATCCGCGCGGAGCTGCAAAAGCTTCTGCTCATCCCGTCTCGTCTCCTTCGAGCTGTACTCCTTGTGGAAGTCCCGGATCCACTTCCACATCGCGCGCTGCTCGGCCTCCGCAGACGGGGGCGCCCCTTCGACGCCCTGCGCCGACAGCCAGTCGCAGAGGTCCTTCCGCATGACGTCGGTGCAGCCCTTCTGCGACTGGGCGGCGGACGACAGGGGGCCCCCCGCGAGGGGCTTGACGCCCTCGAGGCTCCCCCTGTTGCTCACCTTCTCGTCCGGGCCCGACTGGAGCTGCTCCCGGGTGTTCCTGTCCTGCAGGTTCAGCTTCACCGGCAGCGCGGTCTTTCTGTAGACCGAGTCGCTCATCGCCCCCCGGCGCGGCCCGGCGGCGAGGGGGAACGACTGGCTCAGGGGGGGCAGCCAAGGCCCGCAGTTGGCGGTACATCGCCAGCAGATTGGCGATACCGTGAGGGGATTGGATGTTGGAGGCCTGGAGCCGGGCACAAGCACCAACATAGGGGGTTGCCGCCACCGCGGGAAGACGATCTTTCGGCCGCCCAAGAAGCCAGAAGATTAGCCCGGGACACTTTTCCCTCGGTGGAGGCACGCCGCCGATATTGGTGTTGGTGTCGACCTCTAGGCCTCCGAGGATAGAGACCCCTTAGATAAGGAATCCAGGGCCTGGAAGCCGGGGGAACACCAACTCAGGCTTGGCCGTGAGATCAGCGCCGCCGTCATCAGAGAAGGGATCCTCCAGGGTCTGAAGCCTCCTGGGCACGTTCCTGAACGAACGCCACCACCGCAGGCCCCAGACAGCGAAACCGCGCGCTCCTGGGCGGGGTGGGCTGGCTGTCAGGTCTCTCTATAGCGACGACTGGGCGACTAGGGGCCCATGCCTCCCCCTGGCTTTCGGGCCGTATCTCGGCTCTCTGGCGGCGACGGTCTGGGCATCCCCAGAACGCTCTCGGCGAGGCGCAGCTGCTGAAACGCATCCCGAGGCTGGAATCCCGCAGGGAGTCAAGGAAGTTCCCTGAAGGAACACAACAGAAAATCCCTAAACCTCCTACCTCGAGCCCCCCCCCGAGCCTACCTCCAACGAGCGTTGCCCCCGAGGCTGGCGCGGATCCCCCCAGAGCGGGGGGGCACCGGCGCGTGCTGGGCAGGAGGACCAGCGGGGCCAGCCGAGGGGGGGGCAACGATCCAAGTGTGCCGCTCGATCCGAGATGGGTTGCGCACCTCCGCCCCTTCCGCTTCCAGATCCTCCTCCTCGTCCAGCTGGTCACCTTACCCTTCCTTGCCATCATCACGATCATTCTTGCTGCTCCTCCTCCGTTTTCTTAGGCAAGCAAGTGGGCCTCGAGGGCCCGAAGCGTCAACCTCCTCCTCCTCCTCCTTTTTGTTTCTTCTTTTTCCCGCCTTTCTGGCTCCCGCCTTCCGCCCCCTTTGCGGCAAGTTCGAGGCGTGACGACCCAGCGCTGGTCTCCGGCACCGCGTGGATCGTTCAACCGTAAACGATCGGTGGCTTTCCGATCGCCAGATCATTCCATGTCGGCCGATTCGGGGCAAATAGGCGGCGTTCAACCTTGAACGCCCGCGGCGGGGTCGCCGCCGCGTCGACACGACGCGAACCTGCCGTATCCTCCTCCTCCTCCTCCTCCTCCTCCTCCTCCTCCTCCTCCTCCTCCTCCTCCAGCTGTCCACCTTCTTATTTGTCTGATTCATCCTCCTCCCTCCTTCCTGATCGTTGTGGTATTATCATTGCTAGTGTTATGATCATTATCGTTGTGGTTAGTCTTCTTACTACTGTTGTTATGATTCCTAATCTTGCTATTATGATAATTCCTCCTCCCTGCGTGCGCGTGTGTACTTGGGTTTCTTCCTCTTCGTCGTCGCGCCAAAAGACCTTCCAGCTTGTCGCGAAGCCCAAGCACGGAGGAACAAAAAAGAGGACGAAGGCAAGGAAAAACAGGATAACGAGAATGATGTGCTGATGCGATCGGCTCAGGATGCGTTCGGGGGGGTCCAGAATATCCAGCGGCCCTCGTTTCTGCAATATCGCGGTGGTCGTGAACTTTCAGTCAAGAGGGAAGGGTCGGGGCCACGAAGCAGGCAAACCGCTAGAGACATCACCACAGTCTGCGGCGAATCTGCAAGTGTCCCCCGACCTGGCGGCTCCTCCTTGGAGTGCATGCCACGTCTGCAGCATCAAGGTGCTCATGGACTCTGGTCACGGGGAGAGAGGGGGAGAGCGAGAGAGAGAGAGAGAAGGAAAGAGAGGAGAGAGGGAGAGAGAGTTAGAAAGAGAGACAGAGACAGGGACAGAGAGAGAGAGAGAGAGACAGACAGGCCTTGGCCGACAACCAGGCCAACCACTTGAGACATCACCACAGTCCGGGCGCGAACAGGCAAATGTCCGCCTCCATGGCGGTTCCTCCTTGGCGTGCCCAAGTGCTACGCCGAGTCAATCCGAGTATGATTGAACATGTGTGAGCGTGGTCTGAATATGGGTGACTCGCGATACGAGTATGAGGATACGGGTGCGTCTGAGCGCATATGAGTGTGAGTGGTCGGTGTGTGGGTGGGTCTGAATGTCAACGAGTCTGAGTACAAGTGAGTCTGAGTATGCGCACGCTGTATATAGTGCATATGAGTGTGTGTGGGTATGAGTATAAGTGAGTCTGAACGTGAGTGAGCCTGAGTATGAGTGAGTCTGAGTATGGGTGAGTCTGAGTATCGGAGAGCCTGGGTCTAAGTGAAACTGAATGTGGATGCGTCTGAGTGTGAGTCAGTCTGAGTACGAGTGAGTCTGAGTCTGAGCGTTAGCGAGGAGGAAGCAGGCGGGAAGGAGGAACAAATACGGAGCGAGGTGGAGGCATCACACTAAGAACAATACCCCCTATACTTAGGGTATGGGGAGCAAGGACCCCATCATAGGATCTGAGACATAACGGCAAACCTTCAAACTTTCATAGGTCCGCGCGAATTTCTTGGATCGGCGCTGGACTCCCTGGCGGCGCCTGGCGTGCTCCGCGCGCCAGGGAGGGAGGTCCAGCTCCGATCCAAGAAACTCGCGCCGACCTCCGGAAGCGTACTCCGAGTTTCTTAATAAGCGTCGGGGGGGGGCGTCACCCCCGCCGACAGCCCCACATCGACCCCCGTCGCGGGCAGCCACCGCGCGCCGAAGGCGCTCCGACCCCGGGAGAGGTCTGGGGAGTAGGGGTATCGATACCTTTCAGTTTCCCTCAGGAAAAGACGGCGGTTCGCACGATGATCGACAGCGGGCCCGCACCAATACAGCGAAGGCGCGGAAGCATGGATTTCGAGGCGCATCCGGCGGCAGCAACGCCAGCTTCCCAGGAGGCTCAAAGAGGAGGAAACGAGGCAAGGGTAGCGGCACGGGTGCATTTTCCCCCTCTGCTTATTATTACAGTGCGGGCGCGGCCGCATGAAACCCTCGCAAGAAACCCAACCCTGAGAACTCGTATGCGACGAGGTG